CGCCGAGTCGAAAGTCAAGTACTACAACAAATGTAACTCGGGCCATTAGCTATTCAACCTCGAGTAGCGCTGGGAATTTATACGAATGACCTGAGCTGAGTTGCGTTAATCCACGTGGCGTACTTTCCGCTTTTAACGTAGGTTTACAAATAATTCCAACGATGGCTGTTTAATCTAATGCGTTGTATGGCGCGGACATACTAAACGTTACGAAAATGGTGGCCGTTTGTGAAACAGCGGGAAACAATGTGCCGTTGAAGATGTAATCTTCCGTTAAAAATTGTGATTTAAACGGATTATTTAAAGTATTTCGTAGAAAGAACGTGCCGAATAACAACAGATAAGGATTCCGATAATGCATCGACACGCAACTATTTTAATAATGTCTGAACGGAATTGAATGGATAACGTAATTATATGAGCTGAAATTCGATCATATCCCAGGAAGTTTGCATAATGCAAACGTGGTGTACATAGGATCGTGAGTTCCTCGGCGTTTGAGTAATCCGAAGATGCGCACCGGAATACGGTTTCGCGACGGCCGCTAGATGAACCTGGATTCCAGCGAGTCACCGACAAACAACGTTCAATCTACCGGAAAGTAAACTGGTATTAAAATTACAATGGAAGTTAATGAATTCACTACCGTTAATTCGCTGATTCTTTGTTCGCATTAACAATACAGCATTGACTTTCGTAAAATACGATAGATAACGTATCCCACGCTTTGCTATACCAGATTATCCCATTTTTTGTAAATATAAGCAAAGCATTGAAATGATAAAAGTCGTAAGTGTCAAAAAAGAAAAAAAGGAAAACAGAAATCGATTTGTTTATGATAATATAAGTTGTACATGGGATAGGACGAAGAGATTATAAGGGCTGTGGTAATTAAAATGGAACCAATATCGTGATGGAAAATAAATTTTGTATCGTATCTCTGAATCTGTAAAGTTATGGCAAACGCTGAAACAATCGATACCGTCCTAGTGAAAAAGGACGTAAGCGTCAAAATGAATCAAAATGTGTAGTTTATTCCTATTGGAAATCTCCACTTCTGGATTACTCAAAATGACATTAAAATATCAACGCGTTCAGCGTATGGCGATCACGACGTGACACTGAATATATTAGAGGCAATATTTATATTTAGAGAGAAGTATAATACACCGTGCTTTCATGTATGACTCACTTTTCACCAAGGAACGATAAACCGAGTATATTTAGAATCATGCAATGCTGCACCAAAGTGTATAATCGGTCGCATAATTACGGTGAATACTGAAGAGCTCTCGCGGCTTGAATCGGATTCGTCGGGTTTGTCGAGCAAGAAGTTCTTGCTACCTACGCCTTCAATTAGCTCTGTTTTTATCTATGAGCAGCATTTCTGAATTTGTTTTCGGTCAAAGAAAGGAACCCGAGCCAGGTGGAACTACAGTCACGATTAAGAACAAAGCGAAAATATTTCGCCTACTGTTTCACCTTGTCGTATAAAAACGATAAGGCGTGTAAGAACACGAGCACTTCTGAAGGTTGTATTGCTTGCTCGTGTGTCAAAGTTTCTGAGATGCTGAATAAAAGCTGATGCGTCTGCAACAATCATTTGTCTGCCTCTAATTGCGCGGAGAATGCGAGTCAAGTTTGCTCTTATACGCAAGATTACGTCGCTCAGGGGCACATTTCCTCTTTGACGTGGAATATTCCAATACCTGTTAACGATGGTAATTAATTCGGTTACTCAAATTATTCAAATTCACGAACACGATTATATTGACGCAATACTTTACCCAATTTAGTCTCTCTATTACTTCCAAACGCTATCATTTCACAAGAAAGGAAAAATACGGAACGTCGTACTTGTTCGTGGTATGTGAATTGGGAAATTGTCAATCGAGAGCATTAAACGTTTCAATTCCATTAGTGATACGAAACATTGTACAATGTTACGCGTGGATTAAATTTTAAGCTATTTAACTGGAAAACGAGTAGATTTGTAAAGCATTGATGAACTGATTGCGCGTTTACGTTTCCTCCCTGTAAATGTAACACGTAACTGACTCTATACGACTTGGCGTACTGACGATTCGCGATCGATATTGTGCAAACAAAAATAGAACGTAATGCACTTATTTTCTATCAAGCCGATTGGTCGTGGTCGGACGCGATAGAGCGTCCCAAAAAATCGTGTTGTCGGTACAGTAGTATCGGTCTTTCACGTGTCAGCCGGTATATTGTGGAAGGCGTATCCAGCGCGAACCAACGAGTTGGTGACTAACATTTTAGATTTAGATGAGTTCGTGTGAATAGACCTGCTGTCTACCTTACGGCCACTTTAGTCACAGATATACACGCACCTGCCACTTGCTATAAGAACATATGCTTTCTTTAAACGGACGACCGAGTGAAAAGTTCTCGGTATATAAATGAAAAATTTCGCGTCGCAACGCGGGTGTCCCGCATCACGACCGCTCATCCATAAAACAGCAGATCGTATGCTGAGATCGTGGAATGGATAATTAACGTTTATTATACGAGAATCTTAATGAATAGTCAAGCGTGTTCGCATATGAAGTATATTCTTCGTACCGAACTCGTATTGCTATTTTCTCACCTTTTTTTTTTTTTTTTTTGGCAACGTGTCGAGAATCTATGCGATCGAACGAGATAACATTTAAGTTCGAGCGCGTTTGCAGAGAAGCTAAATAGTAAAAAATACGATTCCAGTGATAAAGGGGCCGTAAGTTTCGATATTAATTGAACATACGCGGAACTAGAACTTTGAGAGTTAAGTACACCGTGTATTTCTGAAATTAGTCGATTAGTTTCACGATCCGCGTTTGCGATTCCACGAACCGAAGAGTCGAGGATGAATACTTTGAAGAAACGATTGCATACAGAGAGGGTGATCTCGAAATACGCTTCAGAAAGCAAGAGACGGTGCAACGTTGCAAAGCTTGCTATGGAAAATCTTAGGAAATCGCGAGAATCTTTTAGTGTAATTTGTTGCCGGGGCATAGGCACACATTTCACGGTATTACGTATTCACGGATGTAGAATGTTAATAGCGAAGGTCTTCTGCTTCGCGTTTCGTTCTCAAGACGAGATGAAAAACAAAAAATGATATTAATAGGCTTTCTCTAAAAAGCTTGTGATTAAACGAAGAAAAGGACTGGATCCCTTTGACCGTGTCTTCTTCGTCGTGATTTATTTTAATGAATTTTTATTAAGTAGCGTAAAAAATGTTGAAGAGATAGGATTAAAAATTTGATTCCCTTGATATATCCATGAAAATATTAAATCTTTTCGAGAGATCAATTTGTTTGATCTCGAGTTAAACTATATGCACGATGTACACGGTATATAGTTTATATTTTTGTAAAGGAATATTTGTTAATACCATTGATGAAAATAACTTTACATCACTATTAACGATGTCGCTTGAAATAACGAACGAGGCCAGACGTTTAATTTTATCTAGAAAATTTAGTCAGAGAAGAAATTTTTGTGCCGGAATTCATTAAGAGAATCTTGATCGGATTTTGAACGAGAAACGCATAATGCTATAAAGGCCACGAGCAGAAAAAAATATTCTGTTATCTTTCCAAAACGAATTCATGTTGAACCATCTGCGTAGAGCTCGATCAAAGGATTGCGATGTGAGAGAAAAATTTTCGTGAAAAAGAAGAGGAAAATTAATACGATATAGCGATTCTCTCTCAATAGAAGCATGCAATGTATTTTGCATATAGGACCGAATTTTCTAAGTACCGCTCTTCATTGTCAAAAAGAAGTAAGTATACGGATAAATGTTAATTAAGAATATGGCATGATTACTCTTAAAAATCCATTGAAATTTCTTCCATGAAGATATCGTTACAGGGATATGTTCTAGAAACACAATTTTATTTGACGCTCCATTCCCCGCGTACGCTTAGCAATTAAATCCAATCAATCGTTGTAGCGGTAAAATTAGAAGGAATGCGAATGTCCCTGTAATTTCAATTCACTATCGCGAACGAAGAATTTCGCAGAATCAATGCTGCAGTTCGATGAATTAAGCTCGAATTAGTCTGTACTAATTTCTTTAAACATTATTTTCTGCTATTTCTCCCTTTACATTGCGATGAAATTCTCGCCTGGCTTCCGTGTCCTTACTCGCTCTACACTCTGACCACCCTAAAGCCACGAGATATCTACGTTCTTGACCCACTTGTACGTTGAATCTTTTATTGCAAAAAATTTTCCGTTTTACCAGTGAAACTTAAGCAGCGAAAATTCGCGATGAAAGGAAATTAACATAATTAGGACAAGACTTTAAGCGCATCAAGAACAGGGTCAACGCCCAAACATATTCCCTCTGTTTACAAACGCCTTTAAAAGAGAGGCCTGCTGCACGAGGCATAATTATATGTCAGGCATTTGGCTTTTTCCATTGAACAACTATAGCGCACGGCTCTTCCCCGAATTCTTTCATGGACCATCAAAAAAACGAGCGGTTTAATCACGTCGGTGAGAGTCGCTGTGCTTTAGAGGTTGCTCAACCAGCTCGTTTGAGTTATTTACTCCTTTCCGTTTCCGTTCTCGTGTCAATAACATCCCCGCGAAAAGTCAACACTAAGTGTCGCTATTGTCACAATCGATCTTCCGTTCTATGTCACTAAGCCATCCATTCGACGTGAAACGTAGTTAGGCCATTTGAAAAGCTGTTTCACCTCGAACCAAATTCTGTGTTTTGCCCTTGCGAAACGGAGTAACGTTCTATGAGGTCAGCTGATGTTCGTAGCAATACAACAGTTATACGTAATTGAAAGAATCAAACGTAGTTTCCTTTAGAGAACACCGAGAGACTAAAATTCCGGAAAAATTAAAAAATAATGAGCACGAAAAGAGTTCGAGGCGATTATTATTTGAACGACTCTTCTGTTGTAAAATCAATTACACCGAGAGGCATGCACTCTATGACAAGCAGCTCGAAGACGAAACTTTCCAAGTCGACTTACCTCCGTGTACGAAAACGGTGGTAACGTGTTCATGTCCACCAAGGAGTACGATCGCGAGGTATCACGTTCTCCCGTTGGTATCATATGTTAAAATAGTTTTAGCTCGCGGATTGGCAAAAGATTGCAAACGGAGGCGTACTCGATTCTTGTCGAAAGGTTGCCCGACAAACAAATCTAGTTACTCGATGTTGATAGAAGATACAATTTTGACTTTCTATTCGATTCTGACGACAAGGTATCCCGGGGGTAGGTTTGTTTTCGTCGCGGCAGCCGGTCGCAGCGCAGGTTATCGCAGTCGCGGCTTGGAGCAGACTGAACGCGCCCCGCAGCTCAGTCCAGCGAATAGCATGACGCGCAGAACGGAGACGCTCTCACTGATACGCCCCGTGATTGTGGGCTCAACCTTAGACGCGATTCTACGACGATTGTACGTCTCATCGATCCTTTCGTGATTGATCTTAATTTATTAAAATCGTTTGGAAGTATGGTAGAAGTTTTAGAAAAATCGTGGATGAAGTGGCTATTGATTATGCCGTAAGATGAGAACTTGTGAGTTTTATTTAAATTTGTGGAAGGAACTAACTTACCGAAGGAAAGGAATATAATTGGTATTATTTGTATAGAGTGGAATATCCGGCAGACGTTGTTTAAGAACATTCCATGTGCATAATTTATTTTGTTTTTGGAGTTTTGCATTCCCGAAACAACGTCGTACGAAGATCTTGAAAAATCACAAAACATTCACGATATTAGCACAGTATTGATATTAATCAGATGTATATTATAAACATACCAGATGAATTATTTGTCTTGAAAAGTTATGTTATCTAGCGGCGAATTTCCTTCCGTTTTGTTTAAGCAATGCGATAGCGTTACAGCAGCACGACTCACACCTTAAACAAAGTTGATGGTAGGTTAATTGATTTATCCTCATTTTGCATCTTCTCGGTTGACGATCGCTTTATCCGCGCTAGAGTTTCCAGGCACCAGCGGAATGAAACTTCGCCTGTCCTAAAGAGTTTTGGAATGTTTAATAGCTCTTTTGTCTTTAAGGGAGCAGATTTTTTCGTACTGCATGAATTTATCATCTATTATGAATCTTCTACACCGTAACTTGGCACAGTTTTTAATTTCTCTGGTAAGCACTCTGAATTTTTACGAAATGATTGCGTACGAAAATAAATACATGATCGTTGTTTGTTTATCTCATCTTTTCCCTAGCTAATTGATTTTCAGTCTGCATGGACCTACGAGAGAATCGAATCTTTCGTTAAAAATACATCGCAGCACGTTACAAAGAAACGGAAACCAGGAAGGGAAGTAGCATTTTAATGTAGGTATTGCAATAAAGGGATTATTTTTATGCGACCCAAAGGTCGATTTCTCTGCTTCGAAAGGAATACAGTTTGACCAGCATGATCGATGGACTTTTGTAATATATGAAAGAAAATTACCGTGGCATCGGTTATGCATGAAAAACGGAAGCAACGAAATCGAGCGATCGTTACGATCTTAATAAGTAGGATCTAAATTCTCGTTGAAATTTTAACGTATGTACACCCGCTGCATTTTTATTGGCGAACGCTTCATGCTTCGATAAAATTAGACGCGTGGTTATTTTTTTACCCTGGCTATACCGTTATGTTACGAAAACACGACACGACAAACAGGAAATCCCGTAGGAGCAAGGGTTAATCGTCTATTTTTTCTCGATAATGCGATCAAATCGTCCTTTTGTTGTACATTTTTCATATAATTATTCTCACGTTTCGTGATTTTATCGGTGGAAAATCCTCGATGCCCGCGGGACTTTTAACGACTAAATAGTTGAACAGACGTTCTTTGTACGTCGCGACTACAGCCTGATCAAACGGTTCGAACAAAAAACGCGTTCTTCTTTGTCTTTCTACATGTTGTCGACCGTGTACACTTTGTGTACATGCCGTTGGTTATTATTGTCACATTTCTGTTTCGTGTACTTATTTCCTTCTTATAATTACGTATAATTGCGTATAATTAGATGAAACGTTTAGTTTATTCTCCGACAGACAGAATAAAAAGAAAAGGAAGAAAATTCCGTGTACCATAGCGTTTAATATTAAAATGCAACGAATTTTTCAGGATACCTTTAACACGGATATTGTGATATTCGTGTGACATTCGAATCCTCTCCCATCGTAAAAAGTACGCATAACGCACGCGTGGCTCATTTAATACCAAAGACGAAGAAGAAATGTTTATTTCGTTGATGCGGCATAAACAGAGTTTATTTACTGAGATATTTCTATCGGTATTTTTACCGCCTGAAGGCAACAATCGGATACACGTGGTTACTCTGAACTTCGCAGACATTGGAAATTTAAATTCTTTCTTTCGTATCGCGAAACATACATAAATATTCACTGTACGTTGTTTACAATTCATTTTCATTGAATTGATTAAATATCCATCTGCCTGTTGCAATCGTTCATAGGAGACGATCTTGAGGAAATTTTATAATTTAAACGTAGCCATTTTTTCAGGTTTTTCATCGTTATAGCGTCGTGTTGGTTTCTGACTCTTCGCACTTCCCCACCACCAGTTTCCCATCAGTTCTCATTACAAACGTGAACCTTTTCAACTCGTCTGCACAGAATTCTCGAGAAAAAAGGATAAAGGAAGAATACCGCTAAATGTCAAACTTTTTGACAGAGGAATTCATCTCGAAACTGATGTTTTGGTTTATCATTGGTTACGTGCTGCGAAAGCATTTTTCAGCCGCGTAATATGAACTTCAACCTTAAACGAAGGAGCGATAGGACGGTAATAGGATAAAAAAAGTTTCGTATCAAATTTCTTTCAGCATTATTTCCTTCGATGCTAGTCAATCTCCTGTAACCTGTATGGCATCCTCAATTATTTCCCTCTGCGATGTACAAGCAAGGACGTTGTCGACAAGAAAGTAGATTTCATCGCGAATACTAAATGATTTAAAATACGAGGAACACCTGCAATCTCATACGATGGTCGCCTATTTTTAAAATCTGTCTAGTATCGACGTTGCCCAATTAAATCGTTATTCACGCTATAGAAGGTGGAAATTATCTGACCTTATTCGAATTTCGAACAAGGGCACTTGCACAATTCCAAACATGAAGTTAATTTGAAGTTAGACTTGTCGTTTGCAAAGGTTCGTTGTCAACTCTCTGTCGTCGGCATTGGATTTCACGAAACCAATTCCACTTGTAGGAAAGGCGTAGCAATTCCTGCTCGACGGTAATCTTAATGATTTTTCGATTTGTTAATCGAAACAGAGCGAAATAGTTGGAATCGTTTACAGTGTTTATAGTGTTTCCAGCGAGGTGCATCGGGTTGAGATTGAAATAAAAATAACGATTTTCAGCGATGCGTTAAATGGAATAAAAAGCGGCTGGCTATGTGTAATTTTTGACACCAATAACTTCGACCAAAGGATTAACGAACCAGAGAAAAGAGCGTGCTTCTATAATTTTGCAAGCGTGACTCGACAATTTCCGATAATGAACAGCTTAATAAAGCGCGCTTTTAGCTAGATCAATTCTGTCCCTGACAGTTGTAATTTGATGCTGTTAAAAAGGTCGATGGTGCCCGTGTTCAAAGTGCCAAGTTTAGTGCAACGTACAGTCGCACAGATGGAGATATCTAGTAGTGCGTCTAATTGCTTAGAGATTAGATCAATTTCCCTTTTGAAATATTTAATTCCGCCTTAACGCGATGTTTAAATTAAGTAATTTATTTCAAGATAGCGGTACACGCACCGTGTGTCGTGTTGCGTGCATTGTCGTGCAACATTTTTTACTTATCCGCGACATTTTACTGGGGCGTCACAACACGACTCGTTGAATATTCCTCTTCGTAGATACCTGTAGCATGTTACACGTCATCCTAACTTGACCATACGGCTAACTTTAACTTTATCATACGGCTTGTCCAAATAATCAAAACCTTGTCGACCTTTATTATTTTCGTAGAGAATTTAACGATTGCTTCGCTCTACGCTAATTAAAAGCAGCGTTAAGATGCGCTGGAAGAGTTGAAAAGCGATGAGTTAATCCGGTTATAACCAGCTAACGAGAAACTAAATTTCTCTTTGCAGATCCCGTAGCAAAAGTACATCCCACTGACTGTCATTGTGCTTTCGAATATTATTCGAAAATTATTCGATATCATTGGAATGTTTCAATCAAGATCATATAAGGTCATTTAAAAGACATGCAAAATCACAAAATTCCAAGATCATTTTAAGATATCCTTAAGACTATATAATATCGTTTAAAGCTTGCTCCTGCCTTGAAGATCATGCAAACTAACTCAATAGTCTAATTTCATAAATTTATCGTCTTCCCTTTCCATTCCATTATTTTGTATTGATCTTTAAGTTAAAATCTATCCCGCAAATAAATGATAGACAAGACTGGAATTGTTCACCGAAGAAAAGGAAACTGGACGATAATACCGAATCGTATGTATGTCTTCCAATTTATGAACTCGTTGGAAATCATATTGGAACAGCTAGCAGATGATTTTATTTCTCAACTACGCTGCTTATGTATAGTTCTATCAGAATTGCACGATCGCCAAGGATCGTATCCAATAGCTATGAGTATGTACCTGAAGTTGAAACAAGGAGTAATTTTCTCGAGATTGTTATTGTACGTTCTTGGAACGTCTTCCGAGCGCCGAGTACGTGGAACGCGATGAAACTCTTCCGCGGTGAGCACGACCGTGCAATTCGTCAGAGTAAAATTAATTAAACTACGCGTACAGTTGTCAGCTTAAACTTACGACTTAGGATTGCAAGTGTAAGAGCCGATATCCGTTTCGTTGATAATTTAATTCTTCTCTTTGTCATGTAAGCTTTGGAGTTTGGCTTTGAAACAAAGCCAGCTGACCCAACTATCGTAAATGCTCCAGCAGGTTGAAACATTGTTTGTAGTATCATAATGCTGTTTGCAGGATCGCCAGTTAGCTTTTGGCACGCCCCCCACTTCGTTTGTAAACACACGATCGTTGTTTGAGATAGAGATTAGGTTCGAGATAATTGTAAACACTTCTTAAGGATTCAACGAGAAAGTAACAGTGGCTGCACTGTTACTGGCCCACTAGGTATAATACTTGCCGCATAAAATTCGAGAATTTATAAGAAAGTCTACTTAAAATTTTATCTTGGGAAATTCTGTCGTCAAGTGTCCATAAAATTAAAGGAAACTTTTACTAGCACATATTGGGAGAATATCGAATTAGCAGGAAATTTGCTTTGATTATCCACTTATGCTAGAAAGTCTTAGAATATTTGCTGTTT